GTATCAGTACGGAGAATAAGTTCGTTTGTGATAAAAAAAAATAATGCAAATATGAGCAAAAATGAAAAAAATGCGTATTTGCACTGCGCAGCTTTTATGTTTCGCAATAAAATTTAAATATATGTATTATATATATTTTTAAAATTAATTTAGCTTTCCCTAGTGTTTTTAAATTTTGCAATGAATTAAAAAATAAGCCAAAAATGCCAAACGAAAAAATCTAGTTTCTTTGAAGAATCAAATTCAATAAAAAAATATTTATATTTTTTTAAATGATATCAAAGTAAAATAGCATTCTTCAAAAATTCATAAAAATTTATTTATTAAAAAATCTTCAAAACAACAAACAAAAACATTTTTGACTGAAAAAAAAACAAAAAAANTATACTTCGAAATCTTATCACTGTCGCAGAGTCGCTTGCGTATCAGTACGGAGAATAAGTTCGTTTGTGATAAAAAAAAATAATGCAAATATGAGCAAAAATGAAAAAAATGCGTATTTGCACTGCGCAGCTTTTATGTTTCGCAATAAAATTTAAATATATATTTTTTTTTAAATTAATTTAGCTTTTCCTAGTGTTTTTAAATTTTGCAATGAATTAAAAAAAAACCAAAAATGCCAAACGAGATTTTTTCTTTGAAGAATCATTTCACGAATTTGACAGCCTCGACAGCGATATGCAATAATAAAAAATAATAAATTATATTAAAATAAAACAACAGCAAATTATACAGCAGTCTTCAAAAATTCATAAGAATTAATTTATTAAAAAATCTTCAAACCAACAAACAACATTTTCGACTGAAAAAAAAACAAAAAAAAAAAAAAAAAACAAAAAAATTAAGGAAATTCAATTTACCGTCAAATTTATTAAATAAATATTAGCAAGGCGACGCCAGACCCCACCCATACTGCCAACGAAAGTACTGATAGCAAGCATAGAAAGTTTATAGAAATACTCGTTCAAAAAAAAAAAAATACTATTTAAAAGTCAAAAAAGAATTGCTCATAACATAAAAAATACTCCATTTATTCTGTCTCAGTTTTTTACTAATTTTTTTATTCGCTTTTCATAAAGTTTATAAATTCTCTATTTGGTTAAATACATGCATATGTATGTTTGTGCGTATATGCCTTTTAGCACATGGCAAAATGGACGCTTATCAGCTTCTACGATAGCTTCATTTAGCATATGCGGTGTGTGTTACATAATAATTTGGAATGCTTTTACTTGCTTTTTTGTGTGCACATGTATGTATGTTTATACTTTAAGGTGGTTACATGGGTTTCACTGCTTAAAAAAATCAATTTTATCTGGTTTATTTACAACATCTTGAGAATATTATCCTAAATGTTCAAGTCGATCCACATCAAAGTTTCGCAGTTACACGCTTGTGGAGTCGCGCGCTCAGAGACAGGTAGGTTTAGCGCGAAATCGTATTTTCAAAGTTGACCGTTCGTCTCGGAAATGACGTCACAATGTCGAATAGACAAAACTTTGCATTGAAAGTTTCAGAAAAAGTTTATCCAAAGTATATCTTTAAGACAATAAATATCAGGTGTACAACTTTGCCTCCGCCGTTTTCCGATAGGTGGCTGTACCGGCTGAGGCTGGTTGAAATACATAGATGATGATACATAGATGCCATTTGCGGGAAGTTTTACTTTTCTGTTACAATTCGAGAAAAATGCGGCTGAAGTGCTTCGAATGCTCTCAGAAACTTACGGTGACGCTGCTCTGAGTGAAAGAACGTGTCGGGAGTGGTTTCAACGTTTTAAAAATGATGATTTCGATGTCGAAGACAAACATGGTGGTGGAAGAGAAAAAACCTTCAAAGATGAACAGCTAGCAGCATTGCTTGATGAAGATTCGTGCCAAACCCAAGAACAGCTTGTCGAATCGTAGGGAGTGAGTCAGCAAGCCATTTCAAAACGTCTCAAGGTCCTGGGCATGATTCAGAAAGAAGGAAACTGGGTGCCGTGGTCAAAAAGTACCTGGAAACGCTGAAATGGGAAGTCTTGCCCCACCCGCAGTATTCCCCAAATGTCGCCCCTTCTGACTTCCACCTATTCCCTTCGATGGCACACGGCCTGACAGATCAACATTTTCAATCCTTCGAAGAATTGGAAAAATGGATTGCTTCATGGATAGCGTCAAAAGAGGACTCCTTCTTTCCAGCCGGGATCCGAAAATTGCCGGAAAAATGGCAGAAAGTTGTCGCTAACGAAGGACAATACTTTGAATAATATATCTGTAAGCACTTTTTCGAAAAAGCTTTTAATTTTGGAAAAAAAAATGGCGGAAGCAAAGTTGTACACCTGATATTAAAAGATATTCTAACTAAATTCAAATAGTTTAGATTTTTCTTTAGATAATTTCCCTCTCAGATGAAGTATATACATATATCAGAACGGCTATTCCTATAAGTGTTTTGGAAAAGGCTATGTCACCGGCTACATTTTTGCATAGAAGTGAACATAATTTTATTGAAAGCCTACTAAATAATGTTCGAAAGATTATAACACATTTGCTCTGTTCCAAAAAAAAAATCCCAAATATAAGTGTTTTTGACTTTATCCCTTAAAATAGAATTAAAAAATGAAGATGTTTTAAGAAAAATAGTTCTTTCGGGCTTTTACCCTTTATCCCTTATATTGATTGAGAAACAAGATGTACCCTTCGCTGTCGCACTCACTCATTGAATGTATGAACAATTAATCATGGGATATCTTTTTATCATAACTTTATTTACTCAATGCTTGTGGGAATACAACATTTTTGGTTATATCATTGACATTGGTCCACTTCGTGGAGAGAAGAAAAGTCCGACTTCATGAATAGGTCAGTGCCCGGTACACTTCCCAGAGAAAAGTGTAGTGTTCCTGTTTATCTAAACACCAAATTTCAAGTAAATCGCACCATAAGTAAGATTTCTTTGCATAAGGTCGGTGCCCGCTACGCTTGCCTTTTCGAAAAACCTTTCCCAGGAATCATAGAAACAATCTGGCGAAATTTTAAGTCAATCGGTTGGGAACGTTTGGAGAACACGCGGTGTATACCCCAGGTAACTTTTGGAGATTACTGGATTTCCAAACGGACATAAGATTTTCATATAAAAGATATTGGGGGAAAATTTCCCAATTTTGGAAAATCTTCAAGCATATTCCATTAAATTTTACCCCATTTGAAAATGCGGCTAAAAAATTCGTTACATCTTTTTTTTTTAAATAGCGGAAATTCAATTTTCATACTTAGATATTTCTGAATTACCCTAATATATTTGGATCCATACATATACACATATTATATATACATTCCTAAGAATGCATTCGTTATACATATTTGTTTATTAATTAGCAACAATACGTGTACATAGAATCAACATTCAACTGAGTTACGTATGGAGTTTGGCGCCATAAAACGGAAACAATAAAATAAAAATAGAAAAGTTTACAAAAACATATAGTTCAATTCATGCTAGAAGATGAAAGCTAGAGAAGAAATACACGTTTTCCATTCTTGCCCTAATTCAATTTACATAAATTATAACTTCCTCACTTTCTGTTATTTTTTTTTTCTTGAATTTTAATGTTTTTATATAACAATTTTGGGAATTTTAATTATTTAATTTTTTTTTTTCAATTTTAAGAGTTTAATTTTATTAGCTTTGACACTGTTCCTCCACACTTAAAAGTTGCCAAACTGGCCAACACTTTTACCGTTCTCAGTTATTCAAGCCTTCCAAGTATTTAGTGCGAACACTTTACTTGATCGTTGCCAAATCATTAAACATTTGCGCACAACCCATGCTCAGGCATTGCAGCGGGGTAAAGTGGAGAGAGTAGCTGGCGGAAGCATCATATGATTTTTTATTTTGCTTTTCGTTTTTTCTTAAAAAAAATTAACTTTATTTACACTTCTAAAGTCATGATTCGTTGCGTTTTTGCACATAAGCACATCGAGAGTGAGTTGTTTTCCTAGTCTATGTTCGCACACTTTGTGTTATTGTCAGCATTTTTAACTGTATGTGCGCATGTGTGTCGTGGCCGGCTACCGCCTAGTTTGCTACTTTTCAATTTTATCTTTGGCAATTCTTTGCTTTGCTTTGCCGGTACAAGCTCGTTTCGCCGACATGGTAAGACATGGTAAATCACGATGAGTAACCAACAATAACTTCCTAGCGGCTTTGTTTTTGCTTTTAAATACTTTTTCTTTAAAGATTTTTGTTATTTTTTTCTTTTCAGCTCCTAACTGGGTCAGCTGCTTTAGACGTGTGTTTGAAGTTATTTGAGTTTTCTTTGGTACTTATTGCAAAAGTTTTGTGAAGAAATTGAGGCTTTTAAACGGTTTTGTGAGTAATGGTTAGCAGCTGAGAGAGTCACGTGTCTTTTTTTCTAGCGCATAATTTTTTTTTTTTGAAGTACGAGCAGAAATTGGTTTCATATTACAGAAAAAACTAAATTTTTTTAAATATATATTTATTTTGTAACGAATGAAGTACGTAGTAAGGGATTTATTTTGATATTGACTAAAGCTGAATATTATAAGTGCACTAATTTAATTAATTAATTTTTTATTTATATTTTTTAACTTTACTTATTTCTTTTAATTTTATATTAAAGAGCAAAAGATAGATGAACGATATTAATAATATTATTTAGCGTCAGAAAATCATCTAAAATTATAAAATAATAACTACATACATATGTATGTATTATTTTTCCTGCTCAATGTGTATATGTATGGAAATATATGAGTATTAACGGTGATGAGCGGGAGTTTTCCTCATAATTTTCTTGGAAATTCAACAATTTACAGATTAATTCACTGAATAATTCAACTTTATCGCAAATATGGGAGCAAATCGAATCAGTCATTTTTACATTATATTGAAATTAGTCAATTATGCTAGATTATAATATAATGTAACCTGCAACTTTTACATTTACATACATACATACTAAATATTCGAAAAGTAATTTTTGTAGTGTCATTTACCTTTGAGTTCTGATTAGTTACAAACAAGCAAGGCGATCGCATACATCAGCATATAAAAAAAATATATAAGAAATTTAAGAATTAAATTAGGTACTCAAACAAAATATGAATGTATGAATTTTATTACAACAACATGTCTTAGAAAAAAAAAAACAGAAGGAATTATGTTTCACTAGCAAAAGCAAGCCCATGCATGCACCCAACACCGACAAGCAATGACACTACACATAAATTTTGGGCGAAAAACAACAGAGTGCTGGCTATAAGCAACTTACCCTTGACCACCGGTTCTGAAACGAGTGTCATCTCCTCTTGTGGAATCATCTCCATCAATCGCGCAATATCCTTGGCTAGCATATTATCGACAACGTCAAGCAGGTGTGGTTTTAGTGAATGGAATTTGCTAAAGTCTTGATGCTGCAGCACTTCCTGCATTTTTTTAATGTCTGGGAAGTCACCGGGTGAAATGGAGTGTTCCCGTTGTATGCGATCATAGATCTGTCCTAGGTTTTTAATCAATTCCTTCTTTTTACTATCTTTACCGAACACTGATGGCATGTCTTTGCGCAATTCCGAAATGATGAAGGCATGTACTTTGGCTAAACGGGCACGCTTTATCAAATCGTTTAGTTTGCGTAGTGCTGCGTTACGTGGCAGTGATTGCAAGTCGCGGAACAGATCCTGTTCTTCATCTTCGAAAAGTCGTCGATTGGCATCGAAACGCAGCGGTTGATCCCAGAAAGAACCGATGTACACTCGTGCTACTTCGGGTGTTTGTAGAACTTTGCCCAAGGACCACATCAGCGCGCCATATACACGCATGAGCTGCTGGTGATCAATCATATCAGCTTTGTTGAGTATAATACGTATTTTGTCGTCATGCCCTTTAAGCGCCTCAATGGAACGTCTAAACTCGTCGGATATATCGAGTTTGTGTGCGTCAAATAGCAATATGATACGATCAACACGCTCTGCAAACCACTCTAGTACGCCAGTAAAGTCGTAACCACGATCAATCCGTTGTTTTTCACCGGATAAAATACCGGGTGTGTCAACTATAGAGATCGCCTGGAGTACAGGTGAATTCAGGGTTGAGCATTGGAAACGGTTTAAGAAGGCATTGCCGTATTTGCTTAGTGGACGGAATTGCTTTTTAGGATCGACGACCAGTGCATTACCAGGTATGACACCTTCCTTTTCTTCGTGCATTACAGCGATGAAGCGATCTGTAGTTGGCTCAGGTCCAATACGAATGCCTGGAAAGTCGCGCTCCAACAGGTAGCGTATAAACGTCGTCTTACCTGTAGAGTATTGACCAACTAATAATATCATTGGCTTTGCATCGAAGTCCGGGTCCTCAAGTTTTGGTGAGTGAAAGTCATGGAATTGATAGTGCTCTTCCAAAGGCAACAACTTGCTGCGGTAGATTTTTTTCAATTCACCCACTACATTTTCCACCACCTCTTGGTTATTTTTCTCACGCTTCAAAAAACTAAACATTTTGTTAGGACTTTACACTACAATGGTGAGTACAATGTTTAGGTTAGCAGCAACGACTTCTCACGGCAAGGACTTCGCTTCACAGAAAAAGCTGTAATAATTTACAAGAAAAAAAAATAATAAACACTAAAATTGAATACTGCTTTGCTTTAATTTTGCTCTTTTTCGCTTTTTATTTAAATTGAGTTTCGCGAATGCGTCCTAAGCACTTTTTATGATGAATCACAACACGTATACAATTTATTTTTGGAAAAATTCCGTCACAATTCTCTCTCCACTTGCTCCACAGCCACTTGTGTGTACGTCTATGTTATGCTGGGGTTTGGTGGTATTTATTATCTATCGCTAGGTTTTCCGCCCCGATCACAATGAGAAAGCAATAATCGACACTCCACCCCTTACACTTGTTCCAATTTAACGCACTGATGCTTCACAAATAGCCTCAACAACCAACCGATACCCAAACGTAAAATTTATTTCGTATTAAAAATAATTTTAAGGACTATTTTTTAAAATTTTAAATTTAATACAACTTGTTAATTACATTCAATTTATCTGTCTGTCTCCGGCCACGATTCTGCACAAACTCGACTAGATTCTGCCTCCAAAAAGTACAAAACTTGGTGCAAAAAAATGTTAAAATGTTAAAAGGAACGTCATCGGCTTTTTGACATTTGTAAGTGACGTTTCTGATTAGAAGCTTTTGACAATTACCAGAGCTGCCACGGCGCAAAAGCTCTGAGGCTATTACACTGACAGAAATTAGTTAGCAAAGCACTTAAATTTAAGAAATCTAAATTGGAAAATGTTATAAACGTCCGCGACAATCACAACAACAGCAATAGAAATATGGACTATCAAGTTAATTAACTTTGAATATATAGGTCTAGATAATAGAAATAGATTAACACAATTGCTTTAGATTTTAGAATTGATTACAACTTAGAGAGTGGTAAACACTTATTAAGTGGTCTAATTTAAACAAACATATGATTTCCAGTGACTATCATGGAGTGGGTCACACAGTTAAAGGTATATTTATTTATTATTTATTTAATTCTAAATTTAAAATTTTACCTGTAACAGTGTTTAACTATGTCATTCTTCCGCAAATTTTTATTGTAGAAAAAGATTATTTAATTCAAGATTTTATTGACTTGGTCTTCCTCGCCAGAGATCAACTCCTTTATTCATTTTTTCAAGTCGTTAGTAGACTCTACAAGCTTGCCACAGGTCCCTCGCTTGTCACTTAAGGTCTTGAGGTCGTCGGAGATTACGAACGTACGTATAAGAACCTGGAAGTTATGCCTTAACCAGTCACCACATCATAGATTTTATTTCTCATTTTTGGATTATAAGCACAGTAAAACATTTTTAGCCGTAGAATCGGTCGAGCTTCTCCTCAAATTTATTATAAGCCACATCCTAATGGCCGAAGGATTTTAATTAGGAGTCTGTATTTCACATTCGGAGGACTTGACGTTTCCTATCGAGTGGCGTCAGGACCAGTACTCGAACACTGACTTTCCGAATGGTAGTACTCAGTGCTACGCACTCGTCGTCGTAATGCCCAAAGGAAATTTATATTGTCGTAGCCAAGCAGCCTGTGTGAGCCCCACTGGCGCCAACCTCACATACTACTACATATAGTAAACCATTGAGCTTCAGTATAGGCTGTGAATTGTTACTACTTTCTGAGGACACCGTTACAACGGCGCCATTATACTAAATAGCCTTGATTTCATTTGGGGGTAATTCCGAAAATTCCAACAATGCCAACATGTCAATAAACAACAAATATTTATATTTGTAGATGCGCAAATACGGATGCGCAGTAGCGGAGCAAAGGAATAGATTGATACCAAAATTGTGATGCTGTGATATATTCACATGAATATGCATTGGATGAGTGAGCGTGAAATGGCTGGCCTCCACTTGGTATTGACATTGTTGTCATAGAGAAGGCATTAACCGCCCCCAATTTAATTAAACGGTTTCAGTGTGATTTAACTGTAGAAGCGCTGCGGGGGCGACGGAATGCGGTATCATTAATAGCGTGCAAATGAAACAGAAGAAAGCGGTGGCGGAAACTAAAAAGTCACACCAACGTATGAAAAATAATGGCTCCGGGCAATGGATGGCTAACGGTGCGTTGCTTTGACAATCGTCTTATGCATTTTGTGAATCAACGCCAATGGGAGGGATGCAGTGGGGGAAACTACATTGGTTTATTTTAGAAATATATCGTTTTTTAAGTTTTGTTAAATATGCTTTGTATCAGGCCATTTTTATCGACTAATAAGAATAAAATGGTGATTGGGCGTGAGCAAATCAAAGAAATTTGAAAATTAACTACCTCGAATAAAAAAAATATATTTGACTCTATTTTGCGAGTCGGATATCTGTATTATAAAAATAATTTAAATTATTTTGTATCTCAATTACGTGAAGAAAAATGATTGCACGTCGGTCAGCTCAATTTTAAATAGATTTATTGAGTTAGAAAGAATTTCAAATTTCTTACCAATTGCTTTTAAATATGCCATGGGCTTCTATAAAGCAATTTTCATTCTAAAATTCATGAAAATATTTGTTAAATTTCAGCATTTTTTAATAAAATCCATCAAAATTATCCCACTGTACGTAGGTGTATTTGCACCACCCTAAATATGTGTGTGGGAAGCAAGGAAAATAATAAACTAGATGATAATAGTAGCCAATTCATGGACAAAACGTATGTACGTATGTTCATATGTATGTATATTCCTACAAAATATTTATATACATACATATTATAGTATGTATGCAATACATATATTTAGAAGAACGTTGAAAAAAGAATGCGTAAGGATGGAACGAAAGACACATTAAAAATTAAATTTTATTAATTACTTTTTTTGTTTTTGTTTTTTTACTCGCTTGTTTAGCCTTCATATTTGTCGCGCTTTGCTTCAATAATTTTTATATATTTTTGTTTTTTGTTTTGCTTGCATAACGTAATTAATACATATCATACTTGTATCTTAATAAATACATATCAGCATATCATAAACCTTATATTCATATTCATTCGTCCTCGTCTTTATATGTGTATGTCTGTTCTTCTGCTTCAGCTTCTTTGTTTGTTCTTCTTCATTTACGGTAATTATTTAGTTATTTGTGTTTTTTTTTAATTCTCGTATTCCATATTAACGTTAAGTATTTGTATATAGTATGTATGTATGTATAGGGGGTAGGTAATTGTTACTATATTATTACACTTGTAAACTTCCATTACAATTATTATTGTTATAATTTATCGTAATTGCATTAAGTTGCATATATGTATGTATGTATTTATGTAAATTTATCATATTTTCAATACATTATTGTTTTCTTTATTTCGTGTTGCTTAGCCTTTTCATCTATATGATGTATATGTATGAATTTTACCAAGTTTTCATTTGATTTTTTGTTGTTTTTGTTTTTTTTTGTTTTTATTCCAACATGAGACTACTAAACCCTTTTTCGCATCATTTTTGTATATGTAGTATCTCTTTATATTATTCCCTGTTGAACGCTATTGGTCTTGTTGTCAAACGACATACAACATGTATGTATATATATACGTATAATTATTATTATCAGCATTTTAAGCTGTTTTTATTTTTTATCCACTCAAGTGTTCCGAACTACAAAAATCATAACGGACAAGTTTCGTTAAGTGCTTCGAATACAAAAAATACTATAATTTCTCATTTTGGTGGAAATAATAAAATAATGTCTGTATGTATATATGTATGTCAACGAAATGGAATGAAATGTATGCTATAAATAAAATACAACCTATATAAATAAACATACAGTGTAAACAAAGCGTTAACAAGTGAAAAATGTGACAAATTATTGGGCTTCTGTAACTTATTTATTTATATTTTTTAAAACGGGAAAACATGCTAGTTTATTTCATTAAATTCTCTCAACTGAACAACAACAACAAGTTCCCTTAATTAGCTCTTTATAAAAGGCAGCAAACTTTTGTGAAAAAAACCTTTCAAATGAACTTTTGCACGTCTACATGTTGTACCAGAGTTGTGGGAAAACATTGATATTTGCTAATACAACGGCATTGCCATAACTTTTTCAAAATTAACGCATATAATAGTTTTAGAAAAATTTTATTTTAAAACTAATACATTTTCCGCTCGCATTAGGAAATACAATATTGAAATGCAATGTATTATTTTTTAATATAAAAGTATAACACGTTTACTGAATTCTTAACAAAAATGATAATTAAAGTTAGTGTCAATAGAATTTTTAATTTCCAAATAGCTATAATGAGTGTTTTTTTTGCCAATTTTTTTTCATTATTTAGTCATTAATGCTTTTTATTGTGCAATTCTTCTATTGAAAAAATTGAAATTGAAAAAACAAAAATAATAATAATAAAGCAAATATCACAACTCTGCAATGTACATACAAACGTATGTATATAACCTTGTTGGAGCAATATGTACAAATTCGCTTGGCGCTAAAACCTAGCAAAACTTTTTGAAACCGCACCGCCAAATAAGCTACATGCATACATTCTGCAACTTAAATTTACATGCAAATGATTTTCTTTGTTTTCTTTTTATATCATGTATTTTTCACATCATTTCTTACAGCTTAGTTACAATATTAATATTAACAGATTAAAATAATTTCTTTAACACAGCAAATTGTAAAACCTATCCGTTCTTTTCTCTGCACCACCGTTTTGTTTCTTGTTTTTGTTTTTTAATTTAATTTTCAGTTTATACATACATTTTGTTTAGCGGTTTCATTTATGACACTTTGTTTTTGTTTTTTCTTTTGCTTTTTGCTTGATTTTAAATACAATACAGTTCAAACGGTTTTTGTTCTAAATTTTAGCTTACGCTTATTGTTTTTTATATATGTATGTAGTTTATTATGTAAGGTCTTTTCAATAAATGTATAAGGTATATTTAAGGTATTTAGGAATTAGGAGCTCTCGCGCTCAATTTCTTTTAATTTATTTTTTTCATTATTTTCTTTACGTTTTTTTTTTTACTTCGCCTCGAAAACATATATATATATATACGTATAATGTAAGAGTTATATAATAAATGTACACGTATATAATATTATTGTATTATGCTTAATAAATACATATATATATATATAAATATAAATAACAAAACAACACACACAATGTAAGTATGTAAGGTAATAGCAAGAAATGGGGGAAAAAGGGAATAAGTATATGGTTAAGTATGTATGTGAGCATGTAATTAGGAAGGGTATGTGATGTCTTAAGAATGGCAACAATGGTAGGTGAATACTTTGATGTGTTTTAAATAGGCCGATAGTAGGGTAGGCAATAAGTTAGGAATTACATAAATACTCGTAGCAGCACATTTTTCGGTTTTTTCTGTTTTTTCTCCTTTAGTTTTTAGGCTTTTTGTTTTTGTTTTTGTTTTTGCTTCTTTTTTTTGTGTTTTATATAAGTTTCGAATACATATCATATCATTTTAAAAATTTCCAAGTTGTTGAATTGAATTTAATTGAAGTATTTATGAATTGATCTTGTGAAATTTATAAATTTGAATTTCCATTTAGTTTAATAATTTATAATTTATAATTTATAATAAATACACATTTCAATTATATTAGCGATTTAGTGTTTTGTTTTCTTTGATGTCTCTATGCGTTTTCTTTAAATAGCTTTAAATTTAATTAACCGTTTTAAATTTAATATTAAATAATTAATTATTGTTTGCCAACTATGTAGTTGTTTATGGAGTGACTCATGCTTTGCTCTCATCAATGCAGCTTAGCCTGCTCCCCGTTTAATTGCCATTGGGCAGTGGCACCACAATTTGCACATATGACTGTGGGAAGTAGCCGGTGCGTCCATTCAAGGAGCCTTCAAACCAATTGTCATCTACACGGCTCAACAATGTAATCGTATCATTTTCTTTGAAGCCCAATTCACCCGGATTCTCTGGTTCGAAATCGTACAGTGCCTGACAGCATGGCTGCTGTTGGCGCTGTGGTGTGGTAGCGCCCGGCACCAGCGATTTGGCTGGCGAGCGCAATGGCGAGGGTAGCGGTGATGCCGCTGAGGCCCTATGTGCCGGTGTGCTCACACTGTCCGTATCGTTAGCGCCGGTGCCATCGAGATTGAGATCCAATAATGTCTTGGGTACGAATTCGGCTTTGGGTCGGGACTCGGCCTCTTCGCGTTTTTCATGAAGTGTCTCCTGCAAGCCACGCAGAATATCTGCGCACTGCGAGTGGAATTCGTAAAGCGCCTCAGCGAACGTTACCAATTGTGACACGTGTTCTGTGTCGTTTTCGAGCAAGTTAAACATGCCCATTTGCGCTAAATGCAGCGATTCGGCAAATTTCTCCTCGGCGCCACGAATCTCCTCGTCTTTAGCTTGCCGGCGACGCTTGCAGTCAAAGTCGAGGCGTCGTCCCTGCAACTTCTTACGGTGATGCATTACTTCCTTCAGTTCTTTCGTCTGTAGGTGGTGTAATGGTTCTAAGACATTTTGCTTAATATTGTCATCCAATGAGTATTTTACATCAGCCATTTGTTTCAACGCCTCGCCGAATTCGACGAGCGCTTGCGCAAATACACTATTGTCCTCACCCAGCTTCTTGCCATACATAAGCATACAATCAGCGAGTAGACCTTCAGGTTGTGGATACGTATTGGACTTAGCCTGACCGGACAATTTTGATATGCCCTTGACGGCTGCCATTTTAGCACGAGCCGTTGGATTAGGTTGTAGGAATTCCTTAGTCTTTAATTGTAGCTCTTCGACCAGTTCAACGGTGACGTCCGTCTTACGCTCCATTTCCATGAAGTCCATGTCCAGCTTTGTGCCCTCCGCCCCACCCATTTTTTCCGTCACATACTGGTTCGCCTTGTTAATCTGTTTTTTCAATCCTGCGAACGCCATCCTTGTTACTTTCGCTTTTTTTACTCGGGCTTTCTGAGTACACACACACGCACAAGGCGATTTTCACTAAAGAAATTAATTAAGCGTATTTCAGGTTTTCCAAATATATTGTTGATGAACGTTCAACCGATTTGCACTTGAAAGTTGTTTCTGTGTTGATTTTCCGCTTTTCTTTGATGAAATTTACCCTTTTATATGTTTTTTCGTTAATGGACTTTTCTCGCGCTGCAAATCGATATTTCACATCCAAAGAATTTGTGTACTTTGTAGCGGAGCTTTCGGTGTATGTTGGAGATAGGAGAAGAAATGACTGGAAAAAGTGTTTTTTGCACTGCTCCAACAATTGCCAATGTTTGGGGGGAGGCGATTCGGCCCTGATAAAATGCCAAATAATTTGACAGCTGTTTATTTTTTGGAGCACTTCTGACATTCGTGCAAAAGCTCAGCAGAGAACGTACGTGCTCTGAACTCCTGCAGTTGGTAAGGCAGGTCAGATCTGTTGGTATAGCAGAGTAGCGACAGGGTGCAAGAAAATAAAGTGAGTGGGAGAATAGTAGCCGGAAGGAAGTGTATGTTAAAAGACAATAATACTTGTGCGGTGGTTTTACATATTTTATTTTCTGTGAAAAATAAATTTGAATTACACAATGATTTCAACAACAATGTAGTGTTATTTTTTTTAAAGTTCTGTGTGTGTTCATTTATAAAATGGTTAAGAATTTACAGCTGCTGGTGTTGCGCCAACGACATTTGAAGTAACTGCAGCTTCAGCTCTAGCTTTTGCTTCATCTTCAATAGCCTTTAGCTCTGCCTTAGATTTCGATAGTTGTAGGGCCACACAGCGCATTTGAATCCATGGAAGTGTAGACATTGTGCTGCAGCTATTGAAACCCAATTCAGAATTGTTTAAAGTGTCTTGTACACGTTGCTGTAAATCAGCTGGCAGATCAGGCGTCACAAGTACCTTTTGCGCTTCTGCAGTGAGAATGACATTTAGAAAAAAGTCCGGTGGCGGTGGGCCTGGTCGACCTATTCCTAATCCCAAGCCAAGATTTAGTTGTGCCTAGAAGGAAAGTTGCTTTTCATTAAAATCTTCTATGTGTGGAAATTTTCTGTGTATAAATAGATTCTCAAAAATCTCACATTTGCTGCCGCAACACAGCAAAATAATACAAAACTAATTAAGAACTTCATTTTGTATATTGCAAGTGAGAAAACTGGAAAAAACTTCAAAATCGTTTCAAGAATTTGTCTTTTTTACTTAATGTCGCCCGTTCAATTGCCAGCAGCATGAAGCTCATTTGGATTTTATAGAGAAAACTGGCCAATGGCTTATCTTGACTGTGCGTAGATTTTTGTGGAAGTTGTTTATTTGCATATTTATCTCTTTTGACATCTGATTTATGTATAAATGTGTTAACGCATGCAGTAATAGCCTTTAAAGGTATGCGATTGTTATATACACACATACATACACATATGCGTGCATGCATTTTTGTTGTTTTGCTCAACATTTCTGATTTATTCATTTATTAATTGTATACATACAGAGATATTCATGTCAGAAATATTGCCTACATTTACGCACCAAAGATAACAAATAATAAAATAATTAGATTTTGTTGCAGTTGATGACTAAGCGACGATGAAACTGCAGTTTCTTTACATTTTTTCAATTTATTTCTTCTTAGGTGAATGGGTATAATAAATATTTACTTGTGCGCATTCCTTGCCTATACATATTATTAACTTTTATTTTGAGCATTTACTTGTTGCAAGAAAACAAGGAAGAAGCAGAGATTCGTCTGTAGGTTTTTGAACACTTCCGATGAAGTCGGACAGTAACCATCCGTCCCACATATGCAAATAGATCCGAGTATTTGAACTCATTTAAAAAAGTATTTAAGAAAATAGTGCTGGGACAAATATGCAGTTGCCGTTAGATTGGAACCCTCGTTGAGTTCAAGGAAAGTCCTGTGCCTGTCCGATCATTGAGGGTTTGAAGGAAATATTTATTGGCGCAAGTTTCTCTTCGATGGTTTACATTAATCTCAGTTGAGGGTTACATTTTGTTATGGCAAATAACAGCCAATGATGTTGATTGCATTATGTACAAGTATATATATGTATGTATGTATATGAAGGTACATGTGAATGTATTTACATACATACACTTTGTGTATTTGCAAGTACACATTTTTATTAAGAGCGTGTACATATTTACATTTACTCCACAGTTGTTTTTATGTCATTTTTTTTTATTAAACACTGCTGTTTTTGTCGTTGTTGTTTACAGGTAAATGCACAAGCATGTCTGTTGGCTGTGTTGTTATTGTTGCTACGTTTGTTGTCGCATATTTTCTTAACGAAATTAAAAAGGAAAACGATTTCCTTGCCACTTGCTGCATCTGTGCGATTTCTTCTTATGACATTTTGTTTTTGTTTATATTCTTGTTCTTATTTTATTAATTTTTTTTTTCGATACCAATTTTCTTCTTCTTCTTGCTAGCACTTGTTATAAATATGAAAATCCTTTCGCAACTATGAGAGTATTGTTGGTGCCTTTGCTTTTAATGTTGTTGTTGTTGTTTTGAAATAGTACTAAATATGTTCTTTACTAGTTATATTGTAACATCTGCTGTCCTCTTGGCATGCATTTGTTGGAACGGATTTTTTTTTTTCATCTCTTCATTTTACATCCAATTTTTCCTTTCGCTTTTGGTTGTACGTGCATACGTATGTTTGTATGTATGTATGTGTGTATGTATGTGTGTGTGTGTGTGTGTGTGTATGCATGTTGCATTTTCGATTTTGTTGTTTTCCTTTCATGTTGTTCATATTGTTGCTGTAGGCATTTGTGGTCCATCAGTTTACGTTTTTATCAATCTAATGGCTTTTTCATACAAAAATTGAAGAAAAAAAACTCAAACGAGTGAAAAAATGTGTAAAACAATAACTTTGACATGGATTTCAGTTCGTACATCTTTTCTCTTTTTTTCATATCGATTTCTGTTGTTATTTTGATTTATCTCTATTCTGTCCAACAACCTTTCGTTGTAGATGTTGGATGCAACTGAAACTCTCGCAAGAAAAACTAGAATAGAATAGAAAGGATTGGTTAAAACTACAAAAACAACAGTTAATAGCATTTGCATTTGTTGTTATTGTAATTGTTGTATAGTATTTCCAAATGTATGAATGGAGGCATGCATATACATATGTACATACGTAAGTATGTGTAAGTATACGAGGTGTGTTCAAAAAGTATCACGAATTTTGAATTTTCGCGGGTTACGTATAATGGAATTTCGATTTTTTTGTGGCGTTATGTTGGTACTCATGCCCGTCACTTATGCCAACAAGGTCGGCCATTTTGAATGTTCACTTAATTGTTGACAGCTACTTTGCCTGCAAGTGTTTTGGATGGTCTTCGATTTTTACCGATTTTTACAAAAAAATGGATCAAAGAACCTTTTTCAAATTTTGTATGAAAACCGAAATTAAGTGCGCGGATGCATTCCGAGTGTAGACTGTGGCATACGAGAAGCTACCTTGGACCGAAGCAACGTTTATCGGTGGTACAAAATGTTCTCAGAAGGATGAGAAGATGTGAACGACGAAGAGCGTGCCGGTTGCCCGAGCACCTCAACAATAGACGAAAAAATTAATTGCAGGAGCGTGGTGCATCATGAGTTCTTGTCACAGGGTAGAACGGTCAATAAGGAATATTACCTGTATGTTATGCGCAATTTGCGCGAAGAAATCCGCCAGAAACGCTCGAATTTGTAGAAGAACAAAAATTGGCTTTTGAACCACGATAACGCCCCTGCTCACACATCGTTGCTTGTGCGCGACTTTTTGGCCAAAAACAACACACTAATGATGCCGCAGCCACCGTTTTCCCCAGATTTGACCCTCCTGTGACTTTTTCTTATACCCTAAACTGAAGAGACCCACGAAAGAACGACGTTACGCTACGATTGATAAAGACGGCATCGAAGGAGGAGCTGAACAAGATAAAAAAAAATGATTTTTTGAAGTGCTTCGAAGATTGGAAAAACCGTCGGCACAAGTGTGTAATATCTCATTGGGATTACTTTGAATAGGACAATATGGATTTTCATGAATAAATAAATAATTTTTGAAAAAAACACAAAATTCACGATATTTCTTGAACACACCTCATAAATTAAGACCAGAAAGTTTCCGGAAATTGTCATTTAAACCGCCCACGCTATAATATTTTTCAGCACTTTTTTGTTAAGTTGGTAGCACTGCCATTAATTACTAAGCCAAAAATGAGCGCGATCTGTCAACCAGTTAGTTTGCAGCAGCTGTTGAAATCAGTCAACCCCAGTTCTTTCTGCGAATTTTCTTTTACGTCCCCACTCGAGACGAAGCGGGCTCCACGGAGTGGTGACTTGAGTTTTAGAACCATAAAAGTCGCATGGTGAATATGGTGGTTGATCGTTCACAACTACCGCTCAGTGCGATGGCGCATTATCGTCATGAAATTGTTGGCCCACAATTATGGCCGTTTATGACGCATGTTTTTGCGTAAGTGACTCAAAGCGCTCAAATAATACTCTGTATTGACCGTCTGTACCGTTGAAACGAATTCAGGATGAGCCAAAACGCGAATATCGGTGAAACGATATTCGGAAACTTTCTGGCCTTGATGTATTTATGGATAAAACTAGAATTAACATCCATCTAGATTAGTGTCGAATAAAGTGGTATTCATAATATGTATGCAGAAGGAACAAGATTAATTGTATTACATATAAAGACGTGTGGTTGTATGTGGAATGTTGCATGCCTTCAGGTATTAATTTACGAGAGTATTTATGTGAATGACTCGTTTTAAGCTAAAAGCTCCTTTCAAATTTATTTTGTAAATTTGTCATTAATTTTATTGCATAAGATTTTGAAAACACTCAGTTTCGTATCGAAATATCGACCTAAGTTTTTAATTTCAGAACCCTTTTTATGCGTACAACAGCAGATGATTCCGGTTGCAAATTTTTAATTACTGAGTAAAGCTTGCGTTCATCAGAATACAGAAGACACTTTGATGTAAGCAAACAGAAATCCAAATCGCTGATGAATAAAATAAACCAAGAGACTCAAAACAGCGTCTTGAGCTACCCCCGATGTTGTCACAAAAGGTCAGTATGGGACTGCCTTGATCGTTTCGACTTGATATTCTTCTTTGAGCGTAGCAAGAAAGCTTTCGGTAAAAATGTTGACCAACCTTTGATGAAGCCCTGTTGATGGGTGTAAATCAGATTACTCGCGGAGAACAACAGTAGATCGATTTGAAATCGGACTATCATTTGTACCATCAACAACTAAAATTAAAAAAGAAAATACTTTTACAAGATTTCTTGGGGCTGTTTGAAGTACTTAAAGGTACCAGATAAGCTAAAACGGTCTTGTCAAAGACAAAATGAAATAAAAAACTGTTTTTTAATAACTTTTTTTATTGCAGTTGCGCTTCAGCAGAAAAAGTCAACTTCTCCGAGTGTAAAAATCCATCAGCCGTTCGTTGACGACTTAGAAAAGGCTAAAGATTCCTTTAATGGAGGAGAAGCTCGGTCGGAAATCGCTGCAACGGTTGTAAAACATCAATTTTATATTTTATATTTTATATGTATTTACATACATAAATACATACATATGCATGCATGTACATATCTAGAAGAAGAAGAAGAAGAAGAAGAAGAAGAAGAAGAAGAAGAGGTACGTACATTGTCATATAAACAAATGCTATTTGATGAGCCTTCGAGAGCCAAAAACAAAAATTTGTTAAAGCTTAAGCGAGTAATAATCAATTAGTTAAAGCTTACCATGCAATCGCACTAAAGGGACAAGAATAATTTCTTTTTGAATTTTATAGTTTTTGTTTATAAAAAGCTAACCTTGAAAAGCCCAAGGCAGCCGAGATGTACATACACACATACAAATATTTAAGTTTTATATTTTTTTACTTATGTACAGTTTGTCAAAAAACACTTTACACACTGAAAAAAAAAAATTTTTTTTTACTTTACGGGGAGAAATTACAGGCTTAAATTAGCTTTCATGGATTTTTTTTTGAAAAATGAGCTCACAATATCTTTTCAGTTAATATCACTAAAAAAAATAAACAAAATTAATAAGAAAAAATAAACAACAAAATGTCAGTTTACACATTTTTGACACTGTCAAGAAATTCTTTACAGTTGTGCCTTATTGTAATATCTTATAACTATTTATATAAATATTCAGTGTGACCCCCCTTAGCATTTGGTAAA